CTGATGTATTCTAGTAGAAGCTACCTTTAATTGTTTAGAACATAAAATACAGTGTATTTTGCTACACTGTAATATATTTGATGTAACTGCAGAATATGACGTGCTCCTACTACGCACTATGAGTGGTGACATGCCAAAACAAAATAGCATTTGGAAAAAAAAAGGAAAATATCTAATGAGAAATTTTCAAAATATTTGTTCTGATCTGGAGTGAACTCCCCCTGAAATGCTGASATTTCTCCATGAAACAAAAGTTCTGGATTTCGATGTTCTGACCTGCATATGGTTTTACCWTGCCCCTGGTTTGTTGCAGAACCACAGCTAACCTCAGTGGAACCTGATTAAAGCTAGTGCCTGGTTTGGCAACACACATATTTTACTCAAATGAGCTAAATTTTGCTAGTCCAATAGTGGTACTAATATTCATACTTCACCTTGTCAGCAGAAAAGCGTACCTGCTACATCCCAGTCCCACAAATGGGAGTTGGTAAAAATGAGCAAATTAGAAAAATATCGTGAATTTTCATGCCAAATTGCAGCTGTGAAACTAGAAAATGATTTAATATGAAGGGAGCAAAGCRTACCTGGAAAAATACTACACTGCTCCTACTTTTTCTTAGCTAAATCACATTTGAAATCTGTCTCTTCTGCGACTGTGTCATTCTTTTGATTTGAAATACACCCTAGAAGGCAAGGCAAGGAAGTAACTCTCAGATATTCCTTTGAGAAATGCGAAGAAAAAACAGCTGCAGCAGTTAGCTGTGACTTCAGACTTAACTGCTGRGTTGACACGAGGTCACTGCATCTCTTCGTGCTGAGGTTACAATAGAGAAGTCCCATGGTGGGAGGAAGCTGACAGGGTAGAAAGGAATCTATCTCTATATTTGTATTTAAAATATATGTATGTAGTTAATGTACTTAGCTGGGCTCTCCAAACACCACATACAAATGTCACCAGGCCGATTCTGCAGCATTCACCAGGCTGGATTAGAGGTTGCCAAAAGATGGCAATCRGTCCCGCTGCTTCTCCTCCAAGTCCGTCCTCGGAATTTCCTCCGTAGCAGCTGTGCTGGGAGTGTCAGAAAGGCAATCTGAGAACTGCAGCACTGAGGCTGAACATATGATGGGAACAACTGAAAAGTTAAAAAAAAAAAAAGTCATTTTGCAAAGTAAAATTTGAGTCATTAGTTAAATGACTCAGACTGAGAAGTCTGAGACAGTTGGGAATCCACTTAACTGATGAACTAGGTGAAGTTGCCAGTCTAACAGCAGCTGTAGTTAATACACAGAACAATGATAATGGCATTGCTGAGGGTCCCATATTCCTGCTAAAGTGCCTTTTCTGAGTAGACACTTCTCGGGAAGCAGACCTGGGACACCTCTGTGGGAAATGAGAGCTGAACCTCAGGAGACCTCTCAAGTCCTGGAGACCCCTCAAGACCTGGAGAGCAAGCAGTCCCAGCAGCAGGACGGCTTCAGGAACGCTCACTCCAGCCAGTGACGGGTCAGCACTGAGAGGCGTGGGCCTGTGGACAAGGCCTGCTCAGCAGGGCCCATATCCCCCCGGGCACCTCCGTGGTGGCTGTGTAACCACAATAATGGCCTTGTAAATATTCAGTGTAACTTTCATTAGAGTGAGGAGCCCTGGCTGCCCCTCAGTGCCTGTAGAGCCGCCTGCCTTGGCTGTGCCCTCAGCAGCTCCCGTCCCTCCTGYCCCTAAATCATCCCTTCCCGAGACCCCCAATTAGACCTGGAGATTAAGTTCTTAATTTTCTTGGCTGCAAAACCAGTAACAAATCGCTCAGACTTTGTTTTTCCACTGAGCCCCAGGCTTGATTTATTGTGTCTATGTTATCGCAAAAATCAGGCTTCATTCAAAACACTTTTCTGGGATAACTCTATACCCTCGCTATTTATTTTGACTGTCCCTTCTCGTTAACGTTACTAATTTTTAATTGCTCCCCGCTCACTTTTAAGCCGCCTGCGCTGCCAGGCAAGGGGGTGCATGGTCCCTCCACCTGGGACAACCTACAAGCACYGGTGGCAGTGCGGCTGCCCAGGGAGAGTCCCGGCCACTCTCCTGTCCCTCCCTGCGAAGCCCAGGGCAGCGGGAGTGCTCGTGGGGAGGTCACCCCAAGAAACAGTGCAGAGAGAGAAAGCATTCGCTTATTAAAACAGTAAAAATAATAAAACCCCCTGACTTCCAAGCCCAGCGATTAAATTTCTCTCCTTCAGCAAAACTGTTACTTTATCCTAAGAAAAACAGCACTAACAGAGAGGGGGGAGCTCAGCGCCGGCTGCGGCCCCGCCGCGCGGACCGTTAACGGTCGCCGCGCCAGCCGTTAGCGGCCGCGGCGCGCGGGGGTCTCCGCTGGCCCGCGCGGCCGCCGCCGCTGCCCTTCCCGCGGCCTCTCCCCCGGGGCACCGCCCGCAGCCGGTACCGGGCGGGAGGAGCTGCCGCCGCCCGACAGCTCCGTGATTAATGACCCTCCCGCCCGGCAAGGGGCGGTCGCTGCCGCCCGCGCTGGCGGCCGAGCGGGGAGGGATGAGGGGTGCCCGGCGGCCAGGTGCACCCCGACCCCGCCGTACGGGCTGGCCGCGCCGGCTTATAAGAGGTGCCGGGGGCCGGAGAGGGCTGCAGCTGTCGAGGCTGCCTTTGCGCGCCCGACCGGCAACGGTAAGTTCGTCCCCGCGCTCCGTGTCCCGCGCGCTAGCGAGGAGCAGCGCGGTCCCCGGGCGGGGGGCTCGGGGCAGCGCGGCGGGACGCGCCGCTGCCGGGGCCGCCGGCAGTGCCCCCGCGGCCGCGAGTGTGCGGCGCGCGTGGGAGAGCCGCGCCGCAGCCTCCGGGCCCCGGGCCTGCCGGGGCGAAGTGCCCAAGGGCGGCCAGCCTGGCCGCCAACGGCCGCCAACGGCCACCGCGCCGCGCGCAAACCGCCGCTAACGGCCGCCGCTAACGGCCGCGGCGCCTCAGGAGCGGGTGAAAACCTGCGGGAGCAAACTCCGCTCCCCGCGCGAGCGGCAGCCCCGGTTAAACACGCACACGCGCGGCCCTGCGCTGCGGCTTCGGGGGAAGGATTTTCCTTACCTGTTAGTGGGACTGCGCGAGGAGCAACGCCGTTTTAAAAGCCATACAAAATGATCCGCCTTAACTTTATTTTATTTTTTTTTCTTTTTTTCCCCTGGGGAGCAACGGAAAGGGCTGCAAATAAGATTATTCGTGTAYTTTCAGTTTGTTCATTCTGTTCTGGTGTTTTTGGTCTTTCACTTGCTCATTCATGTGGGCCCCTGCTGTCCCTCTCGCACAGAAATACAGGACAGAAGCAGCAGCGTGTGCTATTTTATTTTGTAAACGAATTACATTTCAATTGTAAACGAATTACATTGTCTTTGTAGTAGTAGCCATATAAAACACAATTATACCTGCTTGCTGTAGAAATGATGCGGTAAAAATTAATTAGAAACGATATAAATACTCTTGCATTCATAGTCCCATTTCCAGGTTCTTTGCTGGCCATCCAGTGTGCGTGTTTGCCAATTTCCAGAGGAAATGTTTAATTCTATAAAAATACAAACATTTGCTTTGTAAGATTTTCAAGCAGATTACACAGGAACACATACTAACTTGAGGGRTTTTATTTACTTTTCAGCGACTGTATTTTGGGGCACACGCTTTGAGGTGGCTCTGGGCTTTACGAAGTGTGAGATCTGAGCACACAAGTAGGAGCGATGCCTCCCCTCAGCTGCGCTGTGTGACAAGTGCAATCTGAGCTCAGAAAGCTCTGTTTTGGATACTAGCATAAGCACACATGCACACACTTGCATCACAGCCTGTATTTCTGCTTAAAGGAGTTTTCTGCTCCGTTAGATACTGCTCTATGTACTCAACCAGAAATCCAAWCATTAAAAGAATAAGATAGAGCAAAGTGTCTGTTTCCACAGTTGAAGCTTTGCTATTTTTTTCCATTGGCCCAGAAATTTCATCCAATGTAGTTGTGAAGCTTCTAAGATACAGGCTCCYACTTCAGAAAGGCTCACAAAGAAATGAGGTTTCTAGGTATATACATTTTAATATGGTGTATGTCCATAAAAAAAGATTATAGTCTAGTTAAATACCATGACAGCAAAATAAAACTGCATGTAGACTAGCTTTCTTGTCATATTTTTTAGTAGAATCACAGTTATGTTAGCTATAAATAATCATTTAATCTCTCCGAATTATTTCTCTGATTAGGACTTTCCAAGTAATCAGAGAAATCAGGGAAGTTTTCATCTTTTCAGTGGGATTTAGATGGAATAGCAGACAAGAAATCCTACTGGTGAAACATGACACAGAATAGCATTTTTGCTTTTTTTCATAGCAACCTTGACTCTGCAGTCAGTGACAATAGAGGGATTTTGTCACTAAAATGCTTACAGATCTGACTGTAACTTAGGGAGATAAGACCAAGAAAAAGTTGCCATTTGATGTTTTACGTATTAAATTAAAACAAAATASACAATTTAAGGGTCATTTTTTTCCAGCGCTCATTCAAGAGGGCTTATGGACTTTAATTTTGATTTATATAGGTAATAATTAATTATCTTTGTAAATAATAAATTATGACRTTTTCCCGCAGTTTACAGTTCAAATCCACACAAAGTATTTCACAAATAATTTCATATTCTAAACTATGCCAACATTTAAGTGAATAAGAGTTGTTAAACCTATGAGTCAGCTTAACAGCAAATTAATCACAGTAAAATCTCAGTTAAAAAAAAATCACAGCCTTGTCACTTTTCTGTTACGGCTCTTTGGACCGATTCCTTGACTTGGCTTTGCTGCTATTGGCAACAATTACACAGGCCCTCCAGTATATGTTCRAAACGCATTGTAAATGTAGATCTCAAATAATTTGCATATATCATTTTTATTCTAATTGAATATAAAATCTAATGAATATCATTTTAAAAATTAATAACTTCTTGTTCTTGTTGTCTATCCCAGATTTCACAGAAATATCAGCTCTCTAACACATGAAAGCCAAGATCTATCCAAGAAATTCAGAAGGTCTGCTTGGATAAGAACAACCGGATCAGGTATTATTGCTGCAAAGTGGTGGACTTCGGGGAAGAATGCTAGCATTGCATAATATGGTGGAAGTTTGTGAATTAAAGGAACATTATTTTTATTATAGGCAGAGCTGATAATCTTCTATGAAAGATGAGGTAATTATTTTAGGTAATTATTTTTAGCTTTGCTCATAAGAATAAAATTGCAATTGTTACTAGAGGATGCTTTTGCCCCTCAATGGCCAGAAAGCAGTTTACAAGATTATTTTTAAGTTTGAAAATGTAAAAGAAAAGACAGGAAAAGCACAGATACCGAGTAATTTCAGGTGTGAAAGGACAGGAGAAGTCTGTTTCTGATCCTTCAAAATCATGGGTCAGATTTTCCCTTTCAAAATACCTGTGCCATGTTTTTGCCGCAGCTGAAAATGTGTTTCTTCTGAAGAAGAACACATGTGTGTTCCACGAGCACTGTGTGGTGCTCGGAGCACTGATCCAGTGTGGTGGATCCATACACTGATCCAGTGTGGTGGATCCATACACTGTGGTGTATGGAGCACTGATCACATACAAGAATGTTGATGAAATGATTGCAGGTAAATAGAAAGTGCACACATGGTACCACAGCCCAAGTGATGCAAATAATGTATTTAAAAAATATGTTAAAATCACATTTAATCTGATTTTTATTTGGTTGTAAATGGAAGCTACTCTGGCAGTACTGCTTAGCATTGTGTTTTGAATTTTCTCAGAAAAGTCAGGTGATCTTTGGATTAAGAATTTTTAAGATTGTTTTCTGTAATACTGGAGGGAAAAAATTSAAACTGCTTGATCAGAATTGTAAGCGCTGTTTGTGTGCGCGCATGTGAGRGCAGATCCATGTGGGATGGATCCCCTCGGTGTGTGGGAGGCTCTGAGCCTCCCCGTACGCTCCCGCGCGGCTGGTGCCGGAGCGCGTAGTTCAGMGATGCTCCTCTTGGTTACAGGGCCTCCCAGCTGGGGAAGTCACCGATGGACTGYGGACACTTGGCTGCGAGCAGCAAGGAGAGCTCGAGCCCCGGCCTGGCGCCCGGCTCCCCGGCGCCCGCTGCGGCCGGCAGCGGGTCCGTGGCGGCGCCGCGGGCCGGAGCAGCGGCGGGGAGGCCGGCAGCGGCCAACGCGGCCCGGGAGCGCAGCCGCGTGCAGACGCTGCGCCATGCCTTCCTGGAGCTGCAGAGGACCCTGCCCGCCGTGCCGCCCGACACCAAGCTCTCCAAGCTGGATGTGCTGCTCCTGGCCACCACCTACATCGCGCACCTCACCCGCAGCCTTCAGGATGAGGAAGAGGCGCCAGGGGAGGCCTTGGGCCCCCTCCGAGGGGATGGGTACCTGCACCCTGTCAAGGTAGGGGAGCTTGGGAGCAGCTTCCTCCTCCTCCTCCTCCTCCTCCTCCTCTCAGTGCTGTCAACTGCCCTTGCAGATGGGCAGATTTCAAAGCCATTTGCTTTGCTAAAATTAGTAAATGAAAACCCTGCCTTGCTTGAGCTTTCCAGAGTAGTTTAACCCTTGTTTTGGGGTGGTAGGGCTCAAACAACCCGGAGTTCACTGACACTTTCCCTTTATCTTCAAGGACTTTGTACAATAGTATCAAATATAGCAGAAGCCCAAGGCCAGCGGGATTTGATTCCTTGGAAGTGAGGGAGGAGGGCAGGAATCGAGGAGTATCAGTCCTCGTGCTCACGCAGGTGTGCAAAGCTGCTCCCCAAAGGCCCCCGRAGCCGCTGCAGGTCATGGCTGCGATGGAGGAAACCAGTTGCAGCGGCCCCGGCACGGCAGGGCGAGGGCTGCGCCGCTTCTCTGCGGAGCCAGCTACGAAATGTGACAGTCCTCACTGGCCACGGCTCAACTCCTGGTATAAAAGCCCTTTTCAGACACATTTATTTCATCTAGTTTGCATATGCCATTATTTTTTTCCCTTCATCAAAAAAATTCATGGAGATGGAGGGAGAATGTGGAAGGGGAAATGCTATTAAAGAGTACCTGGGGATGAAAACTATTTTCAAATACACTGCCCAGTGACCGATGTGACTTTGTGACTTTTGAGTACCAGGAGGTATTTTCTTTGGCTCTGAGCTCAGGAGTGTGTTAAAACACTGAGGGCTTTTTTTTTTTTTTTTTTTTTTTAAAGAGTCTGATGAATTGAGAATGATTTAATTGAGATTAATTTGTGAAGTAATCTCTAATTCCCATAAAGTGACTAATTCACAGAGAGTTCCTTGTTCACAGTATTAGTCACCGTAGCTGCACATAAATACATTTTTAAACAGATTAAAAGCATGATGTGAGTAAAGGTAATTTAAATGATTAGCAGACTCATTAAGAAAGCAAAACCTTTAAATAAATTAGAAGATGGCTATATTTCRTAAAATAATAAATACTGCAATGTATTTCAAAGCAAGTTCTTTGACTTCAGTCGATTTGCTTGAGCAAAGTGAGTGGACAGAGGTCTCATGATACTTTTTAATGACTGCCAATTACTACAGGTAGAAAAATACTCTTAACCAGTTATTAAAGCAGTTAAATTATCCAGATGCACAATTTCCAGACTACTGAAATAAAGCAACAGTTGATTCATTTAGCAGTTATTTTTTACTAATCTTAGTTAATGTGTCATCTGCTTGTCTTTAGTTTTGATGAAGTACAGGTTGAAATCAAAATCCAGTCAGTCAAATAAGTGTTTCTAATATTCTTGGTAGTAAATTACTTTTTTTAGTTGGAACTAGAACCAAAATGTCACAGACTACTTTATTAGTAGTAGTATTTATTAGCAAAGTATTACATGCTTTAAAAAAAAAAAAAAGTGCAGCACATATAAAAATGGTATCTAAGCATTATCTATTTACCATGGTAAATAGAAATATGAAAACTGAAATATCCAAGTACAGTTAAGTGCACACAGACAAGAAACATGGTTAATGACTTTAAACTAGCTAAGTCACAGATAATTTATTAGTGATCCAATTCATATCATCAGACTTGCAATAAAAACATTGAATGAGATCTTAAATGGTCCTTACAGTAAGAAGTATTCTGCGTTTTATCTCTTCAATAGAAGATTTGAGGTTGAAGAAGTGCCTTTAGACTTCGGAGTTACCTTTGTGTCAGACCAATACTTGTTTTTCTATGTTCTGCTTTTATAACAGAAATCAGTCGTTGATTTTGATCAACAAGACTCGCTGTATGGGACTAAGGTCATTCTATTAAGAGGACTAAGATATCTCCATTCCACTCCCGGAGAGTATCCTTGCACGCAGCAATTAACACGTGAAGTGTGCGGAGCCCTCAGTGGAATTACAAATGCATTTCASTGAGGCACCACAGCACACGTACAAAGAGTGGGAGAAATCTGGATTCACACATGTCAAGTCCAGAAGAAAGGTGTCAACCCCTTCCCAAAAGTTACTTCTAAACATAACATTACCCAGAGCACCATGCTGGCTGCTTTTCACATATTTTTTGTATCAACGTGTCACAGGTTGTCCTTTCAGATACCGACTTTACAATAATCAACTTGAAATATCCAACTCAAGGGGAATTCTTCAGCTGGGCAAGACATGTAGCTGAAATAGTGTTTGCTGCGTAGGGATTCCTGCAGGGCTGTTAAGAAATGCTGGCTGCAAAGTAGTTGCAATCCCAGCAATGGATATTGTGTGGGCGGATTGGAGTGAGCGTGAGTGATCTGTGCACACGCTGTGCCTAGGCAGCRAGGCAAATCCCGGAAGCAGCCCAGGCCCCATATCCAGGAAGGCTCTSTTTCCTGCATCTAACGGAGTATCTGTGATACAGGTGCCTACATGATGACATACCAGCATGATGCACAACTATGTGTTGGCTCATGAGGATTTTTAGGCTATTTGAGAAAATATCCATGCTGAGATTGTGTTACACACCTTCTAATAACTTCCTTTTTTCAATAAATGACTTTTTTCATTATCATTTAAAGCTTTGCTTTCCTGCAACTGAATTCAGACTGCAAAGATGAAATTCAGACTGCAAAGATCCCTGCATTTCAGCTCTGTGCTTGTCTTTTGTCTTGCAGAAATGGCCAATGCGATCCAGGTTATACATAGGAGCTACGGGACAGTTTCTGAATCACTCAGCACAAGGAGAAAGTGCAAGCCAAGGAGAAACATCAACAAGTTCACAAATCTAACCTCTTTTTTCTTTATATATATAAAAAAGTTATTTATTTCATCATATATATTTAAGTTAAACACCTGCAGACAAACTTTAATTCTTCAAGTACTGTTTATGGTTGAGAAGGAGCTGGTTCTTGAATGCAATTAATGCCTTATTAACTTAATCTG